AAAATTTCATGTTTTCCGTCCCGTTTTTGCTCATATCTCGGAGGCAAAATGAGCAAGAACGCTCATTTGTACATCATTCTAGAGAGAAATAAATGACTGTTTTAGAACGTGAACCATCGATAAGGAAATGTAGACAGTTTTTTCAAAAAATGATTGTCATTCAAGAAGTTTTAGGTTTGCGTGGTTTCTTTTTGAGTTGCAAAATCCACTTGAACCTGACGCTGCTTTTTTCAAAGTTTCTCAAGAACCATTAGACCCCCCCTGGATCCGCCTTTGGTTCGATTAATTGCTTAAAATGATCCACAGAAACGGTTTGTAAAAGTGGTTGCAACATTAAGAGTGGATCATGTCGAAATTAACATTTTTCCTCGAAACAGTGGATTGCAGTTATCAACGGCCACTCTTGATAAAATTGAATAAGTTTTAATTAAATCCGCTGCCAAGTTGGTTTCGACCACGAGTTTTTTAAAGTTGTTGTCTCGAATAACTATCGTAAATTGTGGCAAACTGGCGCTGAAGCAATTTGCCCTTTTTATTATGCAACGATATAAACTCACCATAAACTAAAAGGATCACATTAGCGCGAATAAAACAAAAGTTCGGGGACTGGCTTTTGGAAATTTTAAAACGACATCAGCCGACGGTTTTATGATTATGGGCCTGAGAACTAAATAAATTATGTTCCTGGTACGAAGTTACAAAGTGAAGACAAGTCTTATATGGGGCAATTACCCCGTTTATGTCACATTATGAGTTCGAGGGAATAGAGAAAGAAAACAGTAGATGTTGCCAATTTTGCAAAAATAAGGAGAAGTAGTTGGCATAAAGGTGCAATTTAGCGCCCCCCTTTCTTCATCCAGCCAGATCTAGTGCCATATACAAGACAAATAGCGCTCACATCCCGTTTGTTCGCCCATTTTTTCCTTGTCTCAAACCTAAACCGGCCATTTTTATTCCGTTGCCAGATTCACGCCGCCCATAAATTTTCCTGCTAATATTTGAATGGGCCGAGCATTACACCGAGTAATGGTTATTTAATAAGACAAAGTATCAATATTTCGGTCACGTATCGTCTTGAAGTGGCACGAAAATTCCCTGGTGAGATTCCCCAAGTTAGTCTGGATTTTCGGGAAATGTGTCCGTCAGTAGTATTTTAGTTGGGCGCCTGTCTTGTAAATTGGAAATTATGGCAAATTTGCTCAGTTTTCATTTTCTAGCAATGGCTCTGGTGGTTCAGGAATAAAAAACGAAAGCTCCAATTCTCGTTGTGTTTTTGGCATTATTGGGACTTAAATGGTGTTGGGAAAGCAAACTTAATTTTCACTGTTGACGGTCGTCACTGCTTCGAGTGGGATGTTCATTAAATTGACCCGAATTAGGGTTTAGAAAATCGCAAATCACTATTTTGCATTTTTCCCATTTTCTCCAAAAAAATGGATCCACTTG